CTTTACTCTGGCATTACTCTCATTTTCATGATCCTGACATTTTAAGCTGTTACTCTCTTTCTTCCTTTGAATAAGGTAAGTTTTCAGAAGCTCTTGAGGCAGAGCTTTTGGCACCAAGTTTCTTACCTCTGCTTATGATCATGGCCTCTTGTCCAATATTTTGAACCAGAGAATCGGTTTGATGGTTGCCATCACTTTTGCGCTCTCTAACTTCGACAGCACCAAGGTTTAATAAGCATAGCCCATTTGAACCTTTTAAAGTCGTTGCTTCCATATGGAGGAACCATGCTCCCTCTTGATGCTGGAAAGCATACTTATAGGCATAGATGAAAACAGATGATAAAAGCAAGATTTTTCATGACAAAGACGACGGAGAGCAACATTTTTGAATAGTTATGATGCAAAAATTTCACTTCATTAATAACTACTTAAAAATTTACCGCAACTGTGAAAATTTTCAAATAATACTTATAATAACTTGTTTAATATCAAGAGCTTAGTAGCATGCGACGACCCTGAGCACTAGGTTTTTCAGCTTGCAGCGGCTTCTTCTTTGGTGCTTTTAACTGCTTCAACCTCTTAGCTATCCTTTGGCGGGAGTCTCCTTGTACTTGTTGTCTAGCACAAGCTTTGAATACCTCTGTATTGCACTTGGATTGAGGATTCACCACATAAACCAATGGGGTTGGTTCAGGCCTTGTAACAGCTTGGCTTGAAGAAGATGGTCGGGAACTTAGCTTCTGCTCCTTGGAAACTTTGAAGTCCAAATCAGCCTCTATATATTCCATGATTGCTGGTTTGCTCACAGACTTTTTCATCACGGGCACATTAACATCGTCTTTGTTTCTCAAGTCAGCGAAATTTGTACTCTTGTTAAATATGACTCGGCTCCATTTTTCAATAAAATCTTTAGCAAGTTTCTTGTTGGAAGTTGTTTCCTCTTCAGATCTAGATAAAAACATAATCACCCTCCCAAGACCACTTTTCTTAAACTGCTTTCGTCAATCTTGTTGCTCTAAATCGAGTGGAAAATCCGTCAAGATGTTCAAAATTTTGCCACAGATAGCTGCGTTTGGTAAGCTGCTATCAGGAAGGGGTTCTAGCCAATTCTTCAAGAGTGTCAGAACTCCACGATCCAAAAACTCTAGTTGAAAACTTTTCTTGGACAACCTGGGTGAGGAAAGGCAGTTTCCGGAGTTTGTTGATGGCTGGTTGGCCTATTCTATTGGTTTGTGCATCGTCTTCAGCTACAATCTCAAGCTCAGCCATTACTTTCTTAACAAGCTGGATGATTTCTTCAGAACTTTTCTCAATCTTTCTCCTCCTTTTGACAGCATCAAACATGGCATTGATTACTGGATCATCTCCATGAAAATCCTTCCCTCCCTTTCTCTTTTTTTCTTCCACAATACCTTGGTTCTTCATCAAGCTATCCTTACGGGAAAAAGGATGATAGACCCTGATGATAATAATGTAATCAAAGACTATCTCAACTATGTATTTTTTTTTTTTAAGATTACTTTGGTTTCAAGCCATGGAAGGTGTATTTATAGGTGTCTGAAAATCCTAATCCTAGTGGGAATTAGAGTACTGTTAATCCTACTAATAATAGGATTAGGAAGTTTCCTTGATCCAACTGTCAGGATTAAGTTCACTTTCTGACAGCTGCATTTGGTGTCTCGTCATTTGTTATTGTGACGACTCGTGCACGATTTTGGAGGTGAAGAATGAGCATCACAGAGGGCAGAAATGAGATCAATGCTGCTGTGGGGCTTCCTCAGGTGATTGATCTCCTCCTTTACTAAAAAAATAAGTTGATTGTTTGTCACAATTGCATCCTGGGTATGGATACTAGTGTTGTTATTTTGAAGCAAAGAAAACTTTACTCATAGTTACTTTTCTTAACATCAGAAACATTACAATTTAAAGTCTAATTAATAACTACCCACTAAAATCATAATCCTAAGATTAAGCCATGACCACCAGCATGAATAACAAAAAAATAACCAACACCAGAAAAAACAGGAACAACATGAAACATTCAATGAATTCACATTAGCAGTCCTAAACACATCTTCTAACACTCCTCCTTGCTTTAGGGGCTACAAACACCAAGTTTTGTCCTCAGAAATTCAAACTTGCTAACTGGCAGTGGCTTGGTAAAAACGTCTGCAACTTGATCTTCTGTTTTGCAGTAGACAAGAACAACAACTCCATCTTTCTGTACTTCCCTTAAGAAGAATAATTTAATATTAAAATGTTTAGTTTTCCTATGAAACACAGGATTTTGAGAGATAGCAATGGCAGCTTGATTGTCAACAAGAATCTTCGTACTTTCCTCTTGCTCTACGTTAAGATCGATTAAAATCTTCCTTAGCCACAAAGCTTGATTAATAGCAGCTGTTGCAGCAATAAACTCTACTTCAGCTGTGGATTGAGCTACAATTTCTTGTTTTTTCGAGCTCCATGAGAAAACACCAGAACCAAGTGTGAAACAATAGCCTGAAGTGCTCTTCATATCATCAATGGAACCTCCCCAATCATTGTCTGAGAAACCAACCAGCTTGAACTCTTTGCTCTTTGTATATTTAATGCCAAAATCACTTGTGCCTTTCACATATCTAAGCACCCTCTTTGCAGCCTTGAGATGCCATTCACTTGCACAATGCATAAACCGAGACAAAATGCTTACAGCATTCAAAATGTCAGGCCGAGTTGTTGTGAGAAACATTAAGCAACCAATCAGGCTTCTGAAATATGCCTGATCAATCTTTTCTGTTCCATCTTCTTTACAGAGCTTTTCCTTTGAGTTCATTGGTGTCTTCATTTCTTTACATTCTTCGAGTTTAAACTTCTTCAGAATCTCCTTGGCATATTTCTTCTGACAGATGAAGACTTCATGTTCATTCTGTTTGATTTCCATTCCAAGAAAAAAGGTCATCAATCCAAGATCTGTCATTTCAAAAAACTCCATCATCTCTTGCTTAAACTTCTCCACAATACTTATGTTGTTTCCTGTCACAAGTAAGTCATCCACATATAGTGAGATGATAAGAATGTCAGCTCCATTGTGCTTGACATATAATGTTGATTCAGATAAGCTTTTGACAAATCCCAAGTTCTGTAAATGTTCATCAATCCTGTTGTACCAAGCTCTTGGAGCTTGCTTCAATCCGTAAAGTGCCTTTTTAAGAAGATAAACCTTGTCTTCTTCTCCTTCCTTAACATAGCCTTCTGGTTGTTCTACATAAATCTCCTCCTGCAGAAAACCATTCAAGAATGCTGACTTGACATCTAATTGGTGCACTTTCCAATTCATTTGTGCTACAACGGCGAGTAAGAGCCTGATGGTGTCGAGTCTAGCAACTGTTACGAAGGTATCTGAGTAGTCCACACCGAGTATTTGAGCATATCCTTTGACCATGAGTCTAGCTTTATACTTGTTGATTGAGCCATCAGCATTAAGCTTGGTTCTGTACACCCATTTAACTCCAATTACTTTTCTGTTTTGGGGTCGATCAACCAACTCCCATGTTTCATTCCTTTCAATCATGAATAGCTCCTCATTCATTGCAGCAATCCAATTTTGATCCGTCTTGGCCTCTTCATAATTTGTAGGTTCACACACAGCAATATTGCATCTTTGATAAACATCAGAAAGTAGTCTTGTACCTCTGATAGGACTGTCATCCACTATTTCATTCTCCCAGTCTCCAATGCTAGGAAACTTGAGCTTGTGCTCTTTTAAGGTTGGATCCATCTTTTTTGCATCATCCCAGTTTCACTCTTCATCTTCCATAAAGTGCACATCCCTGCTTATAATAATTTTTTCAATTTGTGGCTGGAAAACTTTATAAGCTTTTGCAACTGAGCTGTAGCCAATAAAGATGCCTGGAAGTGTTCTTTTATCTAATTTATCTTTCTTGGTCTGTGGAACATAAGTGAAGCACAAAAATCCAAATATTTTAAGGAAATTCAGAGATGGTTTATAACCATACCATGCCTCAAAGGGTGTTTGATCCTTCACTGCTCTTGTGAGAAGCCTATTTTACAAAAAACAATAGTATTTACTGCTTCAGCCCAAAATTGCTTTAGCAGGTTCTTCTCATGTAGCATACATCGTGTCATCTCCAATATAAATCTATTCCGTCTCTCACTTACTCCATTTTGTTGTGGAGTGTATGGAGCAGTTAATTGATGTTGAATGCCTGCCTCTTCACAAAAATGAGTGAATGCTTCAGAAGTGTACTCTTTATCATTGTTTGATCTGAGAGTTTGAATTCTACAGCCACTCTCGTTCTCAACTCTGGCTTTAAAGTTCCAGAAGACTTGAGCCACCTCTGACTTGTACTTTAAAAAAAAGATCCAACACATACGGGTGAAATCATCAATGAATGTAACATAATAAAGACTACCTTTCAGAGAAGGCGTTCTTTGTGGGCTTGCAATATCAATATGAATTAATTGTAACTTCTTTGATGCTCTCCATGTTGCCTTGGGAAATGGTTTCCTATTTTGCTTTCCAAACTGACATGCTTTGCAGTTTGGAATATGATCATCAAGTTCTGGAAAATCATTTACCATATTCTTGGATTTCATCTGCAGCAGCCCCTGATGATGATAGTGCCCGAGCCTCTTGTGCCATACTTCAGTGATATTTTCTTTGATTGGGAAAGCAGTTTGCTCCTCCTCCAATAGATTTAGAGCAAAGCTTTTCCCTTTCATTTTTACTTTGAAAATATCTTGGCCAACTGCATCTTTAATCAAGCAACTTTTATCTTCGAACATAACTTTATAACCCTTTTCAATTAGTTGTCCAACACTTAACAAGTTTTGATCAATTTTAGGGACATATAATACATCAGAAATGAACTTTGTACCTAAACAAGTTAAAATTGCAACTGTTCTTTTTCCCTTCACAATTATGTACTTACCATTACCAACTCGAACTTTCGATGAGTTTGCGTTGCTTAGTTCTCTAAATAGATCCTTGTCATGTGTCATGTGGTTAGTACAACCACTATCTATAAGTCAACTCTCACTTGATTCGATGCTGGAGAAACATGTAGCTACGAACAGGTGATCTTTCTCCTCTTGATCAGTAATCTTTGCATCTTCACCATGTTGTAGAATTTTGTTTTTGCAGATAACAGCTTCATGCCCCATCTGATTACATTTAGTGTATTTAGCATCAGGTCTTCTCCAGTATCTAAATGGAGGATGACCCTTCTTTCCACAATGTTGGCAAGGTGAATAGGATTTCTTCTGATTTTCATTCTTTTCTTTTGCATTGGCTGATGCAGTACTTGCCCCATTTTCTTCAAAATCCTTTTTCTTCTTTCTTTTGCTTTTGGCCACATTTTGATGCTTGACTGCCAAAGCTCCTTCAATTGTTGTATCTTCCCTCATCAGTCTTCTTTGTTCTTGTGCTTGCAAAGCATTAAGCAATTCTGTTAAGGAAATTTTTGACAGATCCTTTGTATTCTCCAAGGCAGTGATGGTTGCTTCATATCTTTCAGGAACTGTAACAAGAATTTTTTCTACAATTCTTGAGTCAGTAAATTCAGATCCAAGAAGCCTTACATTGTTTGCGATACTTAAAAGCTTATCGGAGTAATCTTTGATCATCTCGGAGTCCTTCATTCTTTGAAGTTCAAATTTCCTAATCAAGTTAAGGACTTGCATCCCTTTAATTCTTTCATCTCCTTCATATTCATTCTTGAGATAATCCCATATCTCTTTTGCTGACTTCAGAGACATGATACGAGTGAAGATGATGGATGAGACTGCAGCAAACAAGCAGGCTTTTGCCTTTGATTTCTTTGTCTTCTTTTCTTTCTGTGCTTTAATCTGTGCCATGGTGGGATTGTTTGGAAGTGCAGGAATTTCATAGTCTTCTTCCACTGCTTCCCAAAGATCTAAAGCTTTCAAGTATGTCTCCATACGTACTGCCCAAATCTGGTAGTTATCTCCGTCGAACATCGCCGGAGCAATTGCGGAGAAACTGGCTTCAGCTTCCATGACACGTGAATTTCACACACAGATCCCTTAAGAAGAAGGCTCTGATACCAAATGTTGTTATTTTGAAGCAAAGAAAACTTTACTCACTGTTACTTTTCTTAACATCAGAAACATTACAATTTAAAGTCTAATTAATAACTACCCACTAAAATCATAATCCTAAGATTAAGCCATGACCACCAGCATGAATAACAAAAAAATAACCAACACCAGAAAAACAGGAACAACATGAAACATTCAATGAATTCACATTAGCAGTCCTAAACACATCTTCTAACAACTAGTGTCAGATTAGGTGATGTCATATTCGTCAAACAGATTACTGAAGTGCTTTTATTTTGGTGATGCAGATATGGTTCACATACACAGCAAATTCCTAGGTCCTCTTCTTTTGACTGCTGAAGAATTATTTGGTCTCCTATGTTAACAAGTACTTCAGTGTTGCATCCTCTTTCACAACATTTAGAAGGTGGCTACTAGTACTTAATTAAAGCTTATGGAAACCTATATATAAAATTGTTGATGTATATTTTGGTAGGAAGATTGATTATCTGCTGGAAGGTTGATTGGTTGGTTGATTTGATAAATGATTTGTCACAAAGAAAATGGTCAGAGGACATGGAAGGTTAGGATTTGAGGTATGCTCCAATGCTCAAATCAGTCATGTGTGAGAGATGAAAGAAGAAATTTAAGGGAAACAAGAAATAGAGAGAGAGAGAGTAGGTTAATAAGGTATACAGAGAATGAAGGGTTCATAATAATTTACCTGTGGTCGGATCTTACCTTTTATACTAAATTTGTGCTGATGTGGCCTTTGCTAGATACCAGCTGCATACATGCTACTGAACATTCCAAAAATATCTAGCAAAATTGTAATTTGCCAATGTATCATATTCATATATTAAACACCAGATTTCATGAAGTGGTCATTTTATGGTTTCTACAATTTAAAACATAAAAGCAATAATGTAGTTACCTCTTCTTAAGCACCTACCCTGTTTATGTTTTACGTGAGTACTAGACCTTCCCAGAAATTTCTATTTGCTAATTTTAGTCATACATTGTCAAATTAAATTCCCCAATTATGCAATATGATAAACAAACAAAATCTGGGGTTTGATATAGCCAGCTAGATCTATAGCTAGTTAATCGAGTCTGCTGCATGCATGCATGTAGCTCCAGAAATTATAACTTGGATGTAACTTATAAGTAAAAGCCGGCCTGGTCAGGCTGAAAATTAATTTCAAAGCCAAGCCTTGACAGATGTTTGTTCAGTTGTGAATAGTACTGCAGCGGTTAGTCAAAAGAGCTTCTTCCTGCCTTCGCTTCAGTAATTGCTCCTAAAGATATAGTTTCTTCCCTGTGCCGAAACCATCTTACTTTCTCCATATCTAAACATAATTTGCATTTGTTTACCTAACTTAAACTCTATTCATTTGAAAGATATAACGACCAATTAATATACGTATATGTATTGATATAAGTGACAATATGACATATCAAACTCTAACAAACAAAGAAATCATAGAAGATATTTTGCATTACAATTTTGATCTTTTGATTAGAAATGCATAAATACTGCCAATTTTGGTTTCAACTTTTGGAATTGTGGCATTGGTTTCTGCAGATTTTGCTGCTAAACTATACTGATATAAAGGGGGCCTTCATGAGGGTAAAAATGCATGGTATTTTTCTCATTGGGGCTCAAAAATAGCATATAAACTTACCAAAAACAACAACTACAGCCTCTGGAGGCTTGATCTCTTCACTTTTCACCAGTGATTCACTATATGAAAAATCAAATCCGCTTTAAGTTTTTGTAGCTTTATGTCATGCATATACAGTATCAGCACTGATGATATAAAGTTACCTTTAAAAATGGAAATGACTTGCAGCTGTCAGCTTATGGTGTTGTTCTATCACACATAGCTTCAAGAATCATTTCATGCTTTTGGTAATTTCACAGCGCAAATAATAATAATAATGCAAACAGATGTGTCATCCATGATTGAAATTGGAAACACAACTTTTTTTTTTTTTTATGAAGTCGTTTTTAGAACCAAATAAACTAACAAGACATTCATGTTGTATAGCCTACTGATCTGCTGCATTTCATAAGCTGACAAGAATGGTGATTTTTGTTTCAAATATGACAACTTATGAAGGGAAAGCAGTGTCTAAAAGAATTCGTCTAGGAACATTTGTCGTGAAAGCCTTATTTCACGACAGGATGGGGAGTAACCAAGCCAACCACAAGCAAAAGTCTTCGCTTTAGGATCTGCTTTATTCACTGGATATGATTTAGTACCCCACTGAAATTTGATTAATATTGCTACTGATGATAGCAGATTTCAGCATATAGATATATACATATATTTTCTCAATATTCTTTGCACGTGATACGTGTAAAAATTAACAAAAATTTTTTATCAAGATAAGATAAGAGGACAGCAGATTATAACTAATGAAGGTGGAGGGGATTGCTGATCAGCAGCAGGCTGATGACCATTTAAAGTTTTCAACCCTACATATTTTGTAATCGAGAGCAGAATGCATGACTCCGATGTTATTAATTTGTTTCATTGGTTTATAAGTTCATAGCAAAGTACAAGAAAATACTAAGTCTCATGGCAAAAGCATCCAAAATTCAAACTAAAAGTAAGTTAACGTAGAGGTAATTAACTAGATGTAATATACCATATCTGATGATCTATCCGATAGCAAAGTATTTAACTAATCCAATTTGCATCTATCAAATTGCAAAAACATTCTTGAGAGAAAAAGAAAAGATGGATTTTGAAAATTGGATTCATGTGAAGGAAGGAAAGGTTTTCCTATTACTTAATATGCTGGAAAGATACTTGGCTATGAAATACTATGGCTTAAGTGGAAACAAGATATGCTGTATATCTTCCATATTTGAACCTTAGCTCCATGAAAATATGCTATTATTGAAAGCTGAAACATGAAAGAATTGAATATCTTAAATCAATCATGGATGCAGAACATATAGTATTAAAAACTAAACAAGGACTCTTGATCGAAGTTTAACAACAACGAAGGATCAGTGATTACTGATCATCACTAGGTAACATCAAACAATTTCCATTGATGGAAAATGGAAATATTCCATTGCAGAAAACAAGTAATGATAAGTGATAACTATACGACCATCTGATCTTCATAAAATGAAGTAAATCGATGTTAAAAGATATATGCCTGAAGGTTTTTTGTAGCTCTTTATGTATTCATGTAAATATGGTCTACTTCGATCAAGACAAGGCAACAGTTTATTTTTCGTTTGGATGAACAACGAAGGCAAATAGTGTAGTATATTTTGAAAGATCTTGAAATGAAAGGCATGTTTCCAGATGGGTCCTGCAGCTCAACTACCTACCTAGGTTTTCATTCATTGAAGCAGAAAGACGCTTAATACATCCAAATTAAGAAGACCTAAATGCACATACAAAGGATATAGTCTAATGTAATTGAGAACCATCCTGACAGAAATGATCTCACTAGTCACTACTGCCAATTGTTCTAACAGGAACTGTATTTAGCAACAAATATTATTCCAATTGTTTTCACCAAAATTTGCTTCCAATTAAGGAATACATTAATGTTCATTTCAATTTGATATTAATAAAACTTGTTTGAACTTTGAACCATGAGTTTTTTGTTATGTTCAACCAAATTTACATCAACGATTTATGGGGCAAAGCATAAAAAAAAGTGTTAGACTTGATCTCTTTGTCCAGTGTTTTTCTTTTTCATTCTTCTACAAAGCAATTAGGGTTTCCAGTTTATTAAATCAGGAGAGAATATTTCAAGTTTTCAACTTCAATAAAACATGAAATAAAAGAAAAACTTTCATACAAGTACTCAAGTAGGAGAAAACAAGATTGTGCAAAAGAGTAAAACGAAGAACATCTTACAGAATCCATCTTGGCCTCCCTCTTCGAAGTATTAGGCATGAAAAAACCTCCAATATACCTCCTCTTGTTTATTATTCTTCTCATTTCGTGTCTTCTCAGTTGTAGTCGATATGAAAATAGGCCCAAATAGATTTATTGATGTGGATGATGAAAGGATTAGTACTTGAGTATCTCATTCACTTTTTCTACATCATAACTTCATAAAGAATATCTACAACCACTGTACATGCATATATATATAGAGAAATTAAGTTCTTGATTATTAGTGTCTGATATATATACTACTATGGATCATGACCTAATCGAAGCTCCAAGTCTAATTCATCTTCTTGACAACTTGCATCTGTCTCCTTGTTTTCATGATCATCTACATGGGATGGACCGATTTGCAAGCTGAGACTCCTACGCCAATCCTCCTCCCCAAACGGATTCAGATGACATGAACTGTCTACAAACAATTCATCGCCATGGTGGGTGTGTGGGGGTCTAAAACCCCAACCTGCTGAAGCTGGAAAAAAAGCTTGATAACTAAGATGTACCTCAGGAGCTATGGAGTAATGTGGCTGAAAGCTTTGGATTGGCGGATAGGAATAGAGCCTAAGGCTTGCGTAATTCTCATGATCATCAACTTTGCCTGAAACTATAGGAACTGAACTAGGCCTGCTTTTGGCTCTATCTTTCCTGTGGATGTTCATGTGCCCTCCTAAGGCTTGTGCTGTGGCGAACCCTCTCTTGCAAAACACACACTCGTAGGACCGGCCAGTGCCCATATCATCGTTGCTTTGCTCTGATCCATCACTCTCTTCACTCAAGCTCTTCGAGTCTTCAATCTGATTGGCTTCCATTAGAAATCACCAAGACACCCAAAAAAAAAAAATTATAATTAATATGCTTAATTTGATTCAGATTAAGGTGTGGGAACAGAAAGAGGGGGGGGTATAATAGGGAGGAAAACCTGAAGAGAAATAGTTAGAGAAAAGACAAATAAAGGACATAGGCATTCGGAGAGTGGGTTGTATGAAGATGTTCTGAGAGAGAAAAGTCTGAGATGTTTGATGGGAGAGCTTTTCTGGTAGCCGGCTGGGATAGTGGATCCACTGTAGCAGACAGTAGTTAATTTTTAACAATTTTATCTATTATTTGTCTCCCAACTTTCGGGTCTGTCTTGTTGCTTACATCTAATTTTTCCTTAATACAGTCTTCCGTTTGTCATCTCTCTCCCTCTGCATGCATTTTTACCCATGTCTTTAATATTATATATATATATATTTTTTTTTTCTATTAATAAGTAACTCACTCAATTTATTAAAATTCATCTTTATTGAAGAAAAAATTTTAAATTTAAATTCTGTCAATTATTTTTTGTTAAAATTATTTTAAATACATGATTTATAACTACTTATCTTAAGTTATCGAATATAACATATTTTATTTTGACTTAAAAAATTAAATAATTTATCTACTCTAAATTTTTTTTTAATATATATATATATATATTTCTTAATTCACCTATTCAAATTAAAGCATAATTCTCCATTTTGATTTGCCAACTACTAATCTTTGTGTGTCAAATAAGTTACCCTAGGAAACTTTGAGAAAGAT